TTCACAACTCAGTAACCTCAAAGAAAGGCCGTGAAAAGAAGGAAAGTGTGAATGGAGTGTGATTTTCATCTTTGATTCACCTTCCATATTTTGACTTCATTGCGTGTGTCGTCATTGATCCCATGCATAACTTGATGCTGGGTACTACAAAGAAAATGCTTAAGATTTGGAAAGAATTGAACTTGCCGGATGAACAGGACTTCAAAGTGCTTCAAAAAAGGATTAACAAATTGAAAGTGCCTTCCAGTATCGGGCGAATTCCATCGAAGATTGCGTCAGGCTTTAAAGGTTTTACTGCTGATCAATTTAAGAACTGGGCAGTGGTTTTTTCATCCTTTGCTTTAAAGGGCATACTACCAGACAGACATTTACAATGCTGGAAATTATTTGTGAAAGCATGCTGTATACTGCAGTATACAGCATGCTTTCACATCCCAGAAATGTCTCACTTGGCCCAACTGGTTCAAATCACACAACAATCTCATCTGATCCAACCGGCTCAAATCACACAACTGTCTCATTTGCACAAACCAGATTAAATGACACAACTGTCTCATTTGGCACAACCGGTTCAACTTGTCTTATTTGGGCCAACCAGATCAAATGACACAGTGGTCTCATTTGGCCCAACCGACTTAAATCATACAACTGTGTCATTTGGCCTAACTGGCTCAAATGACACAACTGCCTCGTTTGGCCCAATCAGATCAAATGGCACAACTGTCTCATCTGGCCCAACTGGCTCAAATCCCACAACCGCCTCTAAAACCAACCCAACAAATCACACAACTGTCTCATTTTTCCCAATCAGATCAAGTGACACAACTGTCTCATTTGGCCCAACTGGCTCAAATCCCACAACCGTCTCATCTGACTCAATCACACAACTGTCTTGTTTTGCCCAATCGACTTAAATCACACAACTGTCTCATTTGGCACAACTTGTCTCATTTGAGCCAACCAAATCAAACGAAACAACATTCTCATTTGGCCCAATCGACTTAAATCACACAACTGTCTCACCTGACCCAACTGGCTCATATCACACAACTGTCTCATTTGGCCCATCTCATTTGGCCCAACTGGCTCAAGTCACACAACTGTCTCATCTGATACAACCGGCTCAAATCACACAACTGTCTCATTTGGACAAACCAGATTAAATGACACAACTGTCTCATTTGGCACAACTGGTTCAACTTGTCTTACTTGGGCCAACCAGATCAAATGACACAGTGGTCTCATTTGGCCCAACCGACTTAAATTACATAACTGTCTCATTTGGCCCAGCTGGCGCAAATCACACAACTGTCTCATTTGGCCTTAAACTGGCTCAAATAATACAATGTCTAATTTTGGCTGTCTCGTTTGGCCCAACCAGCTCAGTGCACACAACTGTCTTCTTTGGGTAACCGGATCAAATGACACAACTCGTCTCATTTGGGTCAACCAGATCAAATGACACAATTGTCTCATTGGCACCAACCGACCTAAGTCACACAACTGTCTCATTTGGCCTAACCAGATTAAATAACACAGCTGTCGCATTCAGATTCCTTGTTGTTCAAAGAACCATCTCGCGTTTGTGTTTTGGTAAGATGTAGCAAAAAACTGCAAATCCGTTTGCAGAAACATGACGGAAACGAACAACGGCGGAAATGTGCTGGCTTAAATATGACGGAAACGTGACTTGGCATTTCCGTTCCGTTAACGTGACGGAAACACGTAGACTTTAATTTTCACGTTTCCGTAAGACGTAAACATAACGGAAACATGGAGTTGCATGTTTCCGCCACGTTTCAGAAATACGGAAACATGTGATTTCGTCCTGTGCTGTGTTCAACAGTTATATCCACTTCGCAAGTGAAAATTGCTGATGACCTTCTTCTTAAGTTTTGCAGAAGTGTTGAAGATTTGTATGGTTCTTCTAAAATTACACCCAACATGCATCTTCATTGCCATTTATGTGAATGAATCCTTGATTTTGGTCCTGTTTACGGATTCTGGTGCTTCTAATTTGAGCGCTTCAATGGTATTTTGGGTGCTTTACATGTAAACAACCATCAGATTGAGGTACAATTGATGAGGAAATTTATTGAGCGGCAACAAGTGAGGGGCATGTCATGGCCAAGAGAATTTGATGGATTTAAAGACATGTTAGCATCTGCAGATAAAGGCTCATTGGCACAGACAAAGAAGAATCCTTTGACTCCAACTGAATATAGAGAAAGTATGAAACTCAAAGCTGACACTGGAACTGACCTGTTCCATTTGTCATTTGTTGACAAATGCTCCATTCAAGTGTTATCTCCTATCAAGGAAGTTTACATGAGTGATGATGAAGTTGAAGCCTTGACAACAATGTAAACTTTCCTACACATGGAAGACACTATTGTTTATGTTCCCAAATTGTCATGTCAATTTTCACAGTTACTACTTTATGACCAGAAACTTGACTCCTGGTATTCAAGAAGTGAACGGTCAGCCTGTATACTTGCGCGATGGTATGGTGCAAATGGTTTGGACACAGCTTCAGTGGATCTGCGGCAAGGTGAGTTTGTACATGTTGTGGTTCAAATGTAGTTATGATTTAAAATTTTTCAAACTAGTTTGATTTGTTTATTCTTTTGTTCCGAATTTTTTGCCATGACTTTAAGAACTGTAGAAAAATACTGCCAAACCAGTTTGAAATCATTTTGGCCTGAACTTGATTTGTGAGAACAGTGAGGTGCGATAAGGGGTCATACTTCACCCGATTTTCTAAATTAAATGCTAGGCTCCAGATAAATGCTGGTTTTTAGTTGAGAAAATACAGTGTATTTATTCCTGTGGACTTAAAAAAAATGCAGAATGTACATGTCCTTGTCAGAAATATTTTGGCTCTCCAAAGAATTATTAATGGAGACAACAGTGATATAATGTAGAGGAATACTTTTTCTTTTCCCTTTGAATCTGTCTTGTGGCAATTTTTTTTACTTCCCTTTTATAGTTGCTGCAATAAATATTAAGTTTGCCCTTCAGTGTGGTAAGATTTTCAATCAAAGCAGACTTGTTTATCTCCTTTTATGGGCTTCTGTGTTTGAATCTGTATAGTAAATACGGACCACATTTAGTATCTGGGCAACCGAGCTCGATTCATGTTCACCGTACTCGAATAGCAATTCGAGTACCATTTCAAACCAACCTCGGTTCAACGAGCTCGAAATGCAGTCAATTCGATTCGAGCTCGATTCAACTATATCGTGCTCGATTAAAAAGACGAGCTCGACGAACTCAATCTGCTCTTATCGACCTCAGTTATTTTTATCGAGCTCGGTTTGCCACGTATTCTATCGAGCACGGTTTGCCTCGCATTCTGTAGGTTTCATTTTGAGCTCGATTTGATATCGAGCTCGGTTTAATCTTCATTCAGCAAATGAGAGGTAATCTGGTACCAAGACTTGGGAGGGAGCATGGGACGAGCGAGAGTGGCCATGTTTCTGGCAAATTTGTCGAGTTTAGTTCGTGAATTCGGGACTTTTTAGGAGTATGTTTTCGGTCGAATTCGAAAAAAAAGAAGAAGAGTGACAGAAGAAGAGCAAAGAATGATTTTTACTGCTAAGGAGATGAAGGAAATGACACTAAGGTGAGCATTGGCTCTTTACGGGAGGGTGTTCCGAGTTGCTGGTTCATAGTTTGTAGTAACGTTTTGTTCAGTTTCAAACTTAAGCTCAATCCTGGAGTGTACGGTTCTCGGTTATTTTAAATCTCAGTAGTGTAATAAGAAAGTGTCTCCCTCCATTTTACCAACCCCAAGTTTATCCCACAAAAAAGTATACATAACAACATGCAACAATACACACATTCTATTTTTATTATATAAGCTCAATACACTTTCGTGTTTCTATTTTAATTGGTCGTTTGTAACGAGGAAAGGGACAGAACTCTAATGAAATATGAAAATCTTTTGGAGAATATGACAAAAAAAGTCTGAAAAGTAATGTATGTTCATCTCTTGCAATCAAATATTAACTAAAGAAGAATAATAATAACTATTGAACATATGCATTATCAGAGACCATGGTTGATTGACGACATTTCACGAAATTAAGAAAGTGTGGCGGGCTAATGTAATTGTTAAAAGAAGCTAAATTTTTAAATATAAAATAAACATACAGTTCAAGCTGTGTTTATCAGTGAGAGAAATGTATTTTTGAATCCAGATTGATTAAATGTTGCTAGATGAAGACAGATTTGCCAATTTTGTGAAAAGTGAGTAATTTTCAGGAATTGGTTTGATAGTTGAGAGCAAAGAGGTTTCCATTATTAACAGGTCTTAAAATGTTCGATCCAGTTATGAATGTGTTACTAGATCCACCAAAAAGCCATTAAACAACTGCAACACTTCACTTTTAACAAAATGATCAATGCTTGTTGATCTAACCTTGGTTTTTAAACGGCCTGACCTAGCCCTCTTTATAGACTGCAAAAGCCATAAAGGGGATAAGAGACTTAGATTAAGTGTGATAAACAGTTAAGGAACTAAAGTGCTCCTTTGACTACATGGTATTTGTGGCTAATTTTCAGGAAGCTTAACACTCCTAAGTCTCAATGTGAACAGTTTCCTCAAAGTGAGATTTTTTCCTCAAAAAAATAAAAACAAAACAACAACAACAACAAAACCTCCAAGAGAGAGGACAAAGTCCTTCAAACGAGGAGCGTATATCACAACATACAAGAAATAGTAATAGCTGACACAAGTAAACCAGGCCATACTGCATGTGCAACACTAACCCTATAACTCCCATGAGTGACCAAGACAGAATTTCTCCTTACGATAGTAACAAGATAAGTGATGAGAATAAAGAAAAAGATCAATTGGGGGATAATTAGTAGATCCAATACTAAATTCTCTGAACTAACATTAAAAGAATTGTACGGTTGACATTGAATAGAATAACAAATTTGATCTGGGAGTTAAAGGGTTAACTTTTAATTTCAAATCATAACTATTACTGCATAAAAGTAACAACTTGTACATCAGTTTCTGAAAAATTGAAAATCCAAAGGTAAACAAAAACAAAAGTGCAGCTGACCAGGGTCCCTTTAAAATCCTTTTTTTTAACAACTGTCCTCCTTTTCCTTTTTTCTTTTTGCTGTTGTTCTTCTGTCCTTCTTTTTCCTTTTCCTTTCAAGTTTACTACTGGTATGTTCCTTCTCCTCTTCTTCTCTATGTTCCCTCTTTTCCTCTTCTTCTTCATCTTCTACCTTCTCCTCCTCTTCCGTGTTCACTTGTCTTTTGGCCACCAGTACTTCCTGTCCTTCCTCTGGAACAAAAATATAATTTTAGAGGTTGTAGTTGACAAATAATTGTCTTTTTCTTGCTGTTGATTTAAATTATATATTACCCTATTTGTAGGATTCCTAGATAGGACAGAAGTGCTTTATACATTGCCAGTTTAAGTAAGGGCCTAAGCAAAAAGGACCTGTAGGAAACGCCCATAATCCATGGTCCTCGGGGCAATAACACTCCGTAACGCATGTTTTCTAATAGAGTATGATCATTTTGCGTGACTTGCTGATTAATTGCTTTTGGCGTAATGAATTTTGTGATGAAAGACTGCCATTGCCTCATAACACAAGGAGCTGTAATGATATATTATTATGACATAATCCCATAAAATGCAGTAGAATGCCAGTGGATCAACTACTGTCAGGGCTGGCCATTTTTACCAACATTACAATCAGGATCCTTACTAGTAGGTTAAATACTGAGTATTATACTCTTATCTATATGCTTCTTACCTGCTTGCGCAAGAACAATTCCAGGTACTGGGAGCAATTCCTGAAATGAGATAAAAAGAAAAGGGAAGTATGCCACCCACAGGAGTCACGTCTAACTTACTTTTAACAACTAACAACTTAGCCATAGCTCACAATAAAGATCACCAACAGTTAAACCAAGACATGACTGGCTCCAGCCCTTATTCCCCTTAATAGCATGATCATTATTATGAAGAGATAGTTTTATAAATTTAAATATAAAAAAGATAGATACTAATGAAACTTACATGAACTTATCTAATTCCATGACCTCATGTTTCAATGGTAAATCAAAGTGAGACATTCAATACCATTTCTTAAACACTCAGTAAAAGATGTTACTAAGCTAATTACATAAAAACATGATCTCTATTTCATTATGTCTCTAATTAACTTATGTTGATAAGTTGTTTATATAATGTCATGACCTTTATTTAAAACTATGTGGTAATATATACTGTCAGTTGCTCAACCCTGCTGTTGTAAGTATTATTTGATTAGGTGTTAATGTTAGTGTTATGCAGGAGGAAGCCATGACAGTTCTTTTTATTCACGAAAGTTTTTTTGTTTATATGCTATTTGACATGTCTTTTATAAGTACTTCAGCCTAAATGTGTTCAGTTAACATAAGTACTGTCACAAGAGGACCAGTCAAGTAAGTCTGCACCAAGTATTGCTGCTTAGGGAGAGCCTTGTCCCAAGAACCAGTCAGTCTGCCCCAAGTGTCCCGGCTCACGAAGAACCTCGTCCCAAGGGACCGGTCAGTCTGCCCCAAGTGTCGCGGCTCACGAAGAACCTCGTCCCAAGGGACCGGGAAGTCTGCCCCAAGTGTCGCGGCTCACGAAGAACCTCGTCCCAAGGGACCGGTCAGTCTGCCCCAAGTGTCGCGGCTCACGAAGAACCTCGTCCCAAGGGACCTGCCCCAAGTCAGTCTGCCCCAAGTGTCTGCGGCTCACGAAGAACCTCGTCCCAAGGGACCGGTCAGTCTGCCCCAAGTGTCGCGGCTCACGAAGAACCTCGTCCCAAGGGACCAGTCAGTCTGCCCCAAGTGTCGCGGCTCACGAAGAACCTCGTCCCAAGGGACCGGTCAGTCTGCCCCAAGTGTCGCGGCTCACGAAGAACCTCGTCCCAAGGGACCGGTCAGTCTGCCCCAAGTGTCGCGGCTCACGAAGAACCTCGTCCCAAGGGACCTACCTGCCAGTAATTAAAGTACGGTTGAACGTCTCCCAAGTGTCGCGGCTCACGGTCCCAAACCTCGTCCCAAGGCTATTTTTTCAATGTGCATATTCCTGTCAGTCTGCCCAAAGTGTCGCGGCTCACAAAGAAATTATTATCTTTAAAACATGACAATGTAACATGCTATTTGTAGGGTTTTGATAATAAAGGCATACCTCCAATAATTTTACGTGACATGTCAATGTGCATTACTTCCCTTACCTCATTTTTATTTCCGGTGTCTCGATCTTCATCTGTTGTGACAATAATTAGTCTTAGTATGCAATATTATATAATTTTATATAATTAATTAGTTAATGGCGAACTGTCATCCGACTGCATGACAGTTCGCCATCATTAATTTTTATGGTAATGTATTTCCCATCCTACTTCGATTTGATAAGATGAGCTAGTTGTTGGGAAAAAATCTGTGAACCAAACACTTTTGAACTTTATATTTTTTATTTCTTTTTAAACTTATGCTATTTGCTGTAATGGCTCAAGCAACACAGGTGATGGTTATTAATTCATGAAATGCAATGAATTGTGTGGTGACCTCTAGACTTAAGCCTGTGAAAAAAGTGTTAATGTAATAAGCCTGTCAACACATAACATGATATATGATAGTGTTGATTTTTGGAATTTAAAGGCAATTTCTTGTGAAATTTGTTAAGAAACATGTTTTCCTTGTATTTAGGAACATTGTTAAGTCCTCATCTTTATCTCAATTTCAGCTTATTATCTCTGAGAAATGCAGGTTACCTGCAATTTCCTTTTGGATTGCATTAACCCATGTTAAGACTGGGCCTGCTTTTCTTGTCTGGTCTTAATATACTTCATCATGATCTTAGTTACATGTCTTCATACTTTGCTTCCTTTTGTCCAGTGTCATTTGAAGGTACTTCATTTTTATTCTTCAAACTGTTTTTTCATTTTCTTTTAATTATTTTTTGATGTAATATTTGTATTCATCACCTGGTAGTGTGGATGACAGTTCGCCATCAGACTGCAAATCTGGGACATTTCCTTGGAATGTCACCTGTGGTAAAAATAAGGAAGGCCATTAACTGACCCAGAAGTAACAAGTCTGATTTCCTCACCATTAGCAACTTCAAAATTAATGCTTAACCCTATGAATAAAACTAGCTCATAACCCAAACTGTTAACCTGGGCATACAAAATGGATTGTCAAAAAGAGTAATGACCTAATTGAAAACATTACACTGGGTTGAAAAAGGTAGAATTACATATATGCTTAATTGGATTGATTGATTGATTAATTCTGCAGCATTTGAGACATAAGCTCTTAAAAATAAATGAACAAATAAATCTTCTAACAGGTGACAGAGATAATTTTGAAACAATTTTATAAAAAAAGAATCATCAGTAGTTTTATCCATTACAAGTAGTGTACACCAGCAGTTGTGGATACCAGCAGTAAATTGCCAGGCACAAAAGACTGAAGTGATGATTCTAATTGCTTGGTTTACTTTTTCAATGATACACTTCCTTTTTTTCTGTGTTGATCACTTGTGCCATGTTGCTTCATATCAGCATACACCTATAGGCAGATAATTTACTGTAAATTGGCCAATTCAAGCATGCACTTTACTTATGTTGCATAGATAATTTTACTGAATGTAATTATTTTTTCCTAACCTTTGATCCCAGAAGTGATTCAATTTCTGCCTCATCCTCGATAAAAAGGATAAAAACAACATGTTAACAGAATCAAGACAAGGTTTGATACTTAAATTACACAGTTTAAGGTATTTAACAGGGCGGCTGTTTGAACATTTTACCATAGTGACTTTTAAATCTTGCGCAGGTAAATTGGTGGATATGCAAACAATGAGTGATTTTGTGTGCTAAGAACTGCCAGGTTTTAGCACATCAGTTGTCATATTTTTGCTTAGAGTTAGAAATCATGATTGAAAGGGTATTTTGAAATTTAAATTCAAACATTTACCTTCTTAAAATAACACAAGTATATTTTAGACTTGAATTCCAGGTTTCTAGTACTGTTATAATTTGTTTTATGTAATATTATTGTTTACTTACTCTCTCACAAATGTGCAAGACCTCTGTTCTCTCCAAAAGGTCTCCATGTCTTACCACTTCCCTACCTCTTTGGATAGTAAAATAAAGTGGTAGACATTCATTGGAGCCTGCCCAGTCATATACCTCCTATGTCATTAAAACAGGAAAAAAGTTTACATTAAAAAAAAAAATGATCAGGCAATCACTATATGTCTGCATTTTAGAAGAAGTACTTTTTAAAGCAACAAACATTATATATATATATATATATATATATATATATATATATATATATATATATATATATATACCTGGAAGAAAGCACCCTTATTGAACTGGCGTTTTTCCTTGCCATTTGAGTGGCATAGGACAATTGTCACCTTCTCTCCTTCTAGACTGGGCTGGGTAACCCTGCCTTGTCGGGCCTCCCTTATTTTCTTGCTTGATTTTTTAATCTGACATAATAAATACATGACAACTCAATTAATATTTCGCTGAAAATGTATAAAAGGTATTGAAATTTCTGCTGCTTAGTAGTTTATTGGTAATAAGTATTATTTATGCTCCTAGAGTCTTGAAGGAAGTCATCTAACAAAGATCCTTATTTCATTGCTGGACTTTCTTGATATCATTGATATGGGCATTATCTTTGCAATATAATTTTTTGGGAAATGATATTTACCAATTTCGTCTTGTCATTCTCGATTGCCTTTTGCAATGAAATCTCCTGCTCCCTCTTTAATGAGCGTTCCTGTTCTAACCTCTCCCTGTTGGAAACAATAAATAGCCAGCTGTTACCATAAATTTGTTGGTAAATTGATAAGCCTCCCTTTCTATGTCAAATACTCATAATTTAGTTTGTGTCACAGCTGATACCCTGGTGTTAGTACTGCTCTCTTTTGATTTTCTTGTAAGTTCATGCTTAATGGCAGGAGGCTGGTAAATATAGAAAGATCATGAATAACATCCTTGCAATTTTGATCGATTTTAACCGCCCTCCTCCTCCCTAATAATTAAATTTTGCGTGAGACGAATCATTCTTTTCAACTTGTGTATCTCATCAGCATTCACCTTGATTTGGTGCTACAAATGTACATCTGCCTGGATAATCAAAACATATGCATATTATACAGATATACCTGGGTTTTTAGAATAGGAAGTTGTAAACAAGACATTATTTAACATGATTACAGCTTAGTATCTGATGCTATATATGTTTATGGAAATTTTCAGTACGATCATAAGGTTGCTAATGAGTAACAAGTTGGAAATATTTCTACCTTTATCGTATCAAATATAAAAGACCTCTTACCATTCCCTGGTGAATGCATCCACAGCATCTGCTGCCCTTTTCATAGCATCCACCACATCTTCTTCTCGTGCTAATTGTAGGTTGTCTCCTAGTCATAAGAGTCAAAAGTGAAAGAATTCTGTTTTGCCATCTTAAAGTCAAATCAGATAAATATTAACCTGTGATATTTACTCTTAGAAAGCAGCCAAAAATATGTAGTAAAGCAACATACCAAATTTACACCAAGATTCTTTTTTGTACTGGGTTAAGCTGTGGTGTGAAGGTAATAATACTAGTGCCTGATAATGGCATGGGAAATTATAACTGTCCAGTAAACAGGTAATGAGAATACTCAGACTTATCAGGTAGAAGTTATTACTGTATCTTGATGCAACACCAAATTCTCATAACTAATTTTCATGGAAATGTGTAGCAGCTGGAGAGGAGACTTAACAATCATATTTTGGGAGTTAAATTAATTTTACAATTATTATACAAAATTCCCTTAGTTAACATATACTGACTTGTAAAACAAATTCTTAAAACACTCACCGCAAAAACGCTCTATGAGTATAGGCCGAGAAGTTGTGGGTGCCATTATTAGCAAATCCGACCCTGTGCTTCCAAATTTTCTTTTCACTGTCGTAACAAACGCACATAAAATGGTAAGAAGAGTTTGAGAACATTGATAATTATGGTCATTATTGCATCTATTATTGGAGTATGAAGGTTGTCATGGGGTACCAAACATAGCATAATGAAACATAACAGAGACAATGAAACAACAGGAAATACTGGTTGGCTCATTTCTGCAGAAAGTGAAACAATTTATTTGAAATACATCCTGCAAGGGAACAGGAGATCAACCCTATCAAAGTCCTTTAATAATGAAGAAACATATCTATGCACACACTCTTCACATTACACAATATCACAATAAAATGGAAATATTCTACTAAAATATTAATGTTTAGCTGGTTAAATTTTAGGGAAGTTTTTAAACTTTGACCTTTTGTTGTCTTTTATCTCCAAAAAAACTAAAGTGTGGACAGTTATTCAATACCTTCTCTCCCAGATTTTGAGTTTTCTTTTGTTATCCAAAAGTATGCGTTTCCATTACTTCTGCGTAGAATATTCAGAATCCTGATGATTTGATAAAGGGAGAAACATCTTTGATTAATAATTTAATCACTACATAATGTGAAATACAGCATGTGTGCATTGCACAATGGATATGGAAAAATCTTGAATACCTCTGTGATGTTTATTGAATGATCTTTGTGCTTTGAATTTTAACATAATGTATGATTGTAAACATAGAAACCAGTCAGTTGGGGCCACTTTCATTCTTAAAAAAATTGTCATGTGGGCATACATTGCACTAGGTCGCCATGACCACCACTGATGTCACCCCTGTGATTTTAAGCAATATCCACATGAAATTTTAAGCCACTGTTCATGCCATTTGTATCTTAATGAGGAAAAGATATCTGTTGAGTGTGATCTACAGCATATTAACTAGAATATTGATGTACATATTTGTCATGGTGACTCGGTGTAAGAAAAAAGGCTGTTTTAGTAGAGTGCAGCGTGCTTTTAGTAATAAAAATAACCTTAAGAATCATTGATAGTCACCTTATCACATCAGGTATGTTGTCACCTTTGAGGATCACTATGACCATGCTCCTCCTGTCGGACCTGGCCTGGTGACACATCTAGATGCACAAATTTTATAGATTAAAGTAGAATAAAATTTAACATATAGCATTGACATGTCATTTCTTTTGTATAATGGCACGACACAGTGCATTGTAATAATGCATAGAATAGGATTCTATGTCAGATAGAGAAATGAAAGTTGGTCATGTTAAGCAACATAGTAACTTCAGTATACTTTTCCAAAAGAGTCTGTTCCTCAGCGAGTGGAATAGGCATAATGACAAATTTAGATTCACAAAAGTTTACAGGTTTTTTTTTCAAATGTGATTGTCAATACATGTTACTTGTCAGTAATTTAACACATTGACACATGGGTATGCTAACTGTATTTACTATAAACATTTTACCTAAAAATTGCAAGCTATATGGGCAAACATATAACAGGAACTAAATTGACTGCCATGACACCCTTTAACTCCCATGAGTGACCTAGACAAAATTTATCCTTACAATATCAACACAGCATCAACCAGATAAGTGATGAGAATAAAGAAAAATATCAATTTGGGAATAATGAGTTGATCCAATACTAAATTCCCTGAACTAACATGACAAGGATTGTATGGTTGACAGTAAGGAGAATTACAAATTTGGTCTCAGAGTTAAAGAGTTAACACAAACCTCCTCATATGTCAAGGTAAAAAAGATTGGCAGAAGAATGTCCTTGTGGGTTGATGCTGCCTCCATGAGCACATGTTCACAGGAAAGCACTTCCTGTGTTCTGTCCATATCATTCAATGGCACTACAAAATTATTATGAGTGTGGTTTACAAACAGTAATGGTATTCAATTGAACTGTCATCCATTAAGGATGTGTGTGCCAGAATCTTCCCCCCAGCTTTTTTTTTTTTTAAACTTTTGTTGTAGTTTGCTTATGGCCAACTAATGCCAAGAGTGTGTGAATGAAAGTAAAGGTATCTATTTCTCCTTTTTTCTTTTCACTAATAGTAAAATGCAATTGCACATGTTACTCATTAAAAGATAATCACCGGTTATATTGGTTTTGTATTGTTTTGTTTTTGTTTTGTTTTTCCTTTTACCTAATGAAGGGCAAAAAAATTGTAGTTTTGGATTTGAATTCCTGTTTTGTCTGTACTTAAGTGTCATTGTCTGAGAAAGTGTTCCAGGGGCCAAAACTTGTGGTCAACCGATTTGGCTGAAACTAGGCACAGAAGTTGGTTGCCATGAGATATTTCAAAAGCCAATCTGGCTCACTTCTCTGACTTTAAATTTTAGAGTTTCAGGGGGTCTCATTTTTTAACTCGTGAATTGCGCGCATGCGCAAGAGCGAGTTATAGGTACGATGTGGGGAATGGCATTCGCTCGCTCACTCGATTGGTCGATTCCTGTAAACTTTTTTTAGATTTTAGGCTTTTGAGTGCATTTGATAGTTTTTGGCGAGCAATAAAAGACGAAATGGCGACCTTTGTTGCTAAGAATAGTGGTGGGGTGAAAAAGAAGCCAATTATAATCTTGAAAGAGTTTTTTTTTTACGTTTTAGTTTCAACAAGCGGCGCCAGCGACTGGCAGGCATGCAAGGATTCACACTGAAATAACAGAACAACCTTCGTTTTTCATAAAATTGTAATTTACAATCCTTGAACTTGAAAACAATCCGAAGATTCATTGAAAATATCACTTACTGCGAAGCGCTCGGAGTTAACAGATGTTCAAAAGCTTTTTCTGTTATAGCGTGAGATTGAGGACAAAATTGATCATTACGTTTCGTCGCGTGTGTTTTTCCTGTGTGAAGCAACAAAAGATGCCGGCGACTGACGAAATAACAAGTTAACACGAAAATCAAATAACACCTAAACAAACAGTTTTAGCTACCGATTTTCAGTGAATTTTAAAAGAACAATTTTCTTTTAAGTTTCAAGACAATTTGAAGATTCAACATACATACAACGTACTAAAATGCGAAAGTTACACACCACAAAATTGGTAAATAGGCCTGAAATGAAATTCTATCTTGTTATTGATTATACGTTGCCTAGCACGTGACTTAAATCTACCCAGGCGGAGATCCAAAATGACGGTGGCAGGCTTAGCTTAGTTATATCACTCAAAACTCGTTCCCATTTGTCTCGTTTGATAAAGAGGGAATCGTTAATGTTTTCATTAAGACAGTATTGCCTTGATTTTCTAATATTTACAACGAAAGACAGTAAATCTCACTTTTCACCCACATTTACTTCCAACCTTTTCTCTTAAACCAGAAACAAAAATGATAGACGTTTAAAACACATGACATCATCCACCTTGTCAAATGTAATAGCATGATCATTTCAATGGTAATGCCTTCTTATCCCACGTTACTTTGTTTCTTTGCTACATTAGCGAACACTGAACTACTGCTCGTACTCTAGATATGACAATCAACCACAAAATTCCCTAAACCAGATAACATTAAACATAATCTAAAAAAATCATGTGTCAATTCACGAGTTTGCTCACAGAGCACTTTGATTGCCCCTTGAGTACAAAAAATCCAGCCTTTCAGGGGTCATTTTGAAAGTGCCATAAAACCCAACTGGTAAATTGTGCTGCCAAATGAATTTGACTATGAATATATCTATAATAGAGCTTTCATTTCATGCCTGTAACTTTGCCTTCAAGGCATTGGACAGAGAGGAGCCTGGGGCTAGAGTTTGGCCAAAATTAATGTCAAAATTACAACCCAAAATTGCCATTTTTCAAAAAATCAGTGTATCTACCTGCCTTCTTGCATAACATCCGTACCTATACCACTATTTACTTTATTGACCCAATTATCAAAATCACTTGAGAAAAATTTGGCTTATCACGGTTTGTTGAATTTTTGCCACAAACACTCCATGCCCCTCTAAGGCCCTGCAAAATGGAACTTTGAGCATAGTTAATGCCATAAACAAACCAAACTGTTGACATGAAGCCCTGATTCTGTATTTGGTAAGTGAAAATGAATTGTTAAAGCCAAACCAGTTTGATTGTTCAGAATTACCCCGACTCTTACCGTACAATTGCTCTTAAAAGGCCTTTCATTGGGCAAAAAAAGGGTGACTTTTTTCTTTGAAAACCTAGTACAGCCAACTTTGTCACAGCGAACTGGCTTTTCGTAAGCGATTACCAGGCATGATCACGTAGGACTGTAAGAAAACCATTGCTCAAATATCACAAAAGTTCAGTTTCAAAAAGCGCTGACCAAGTGTGCTCGCAGATTATAACAGTTGACTAGTAAAAAAGGCTGTAATACGATCCATAGGTAAAATTGGATTGAATCATCGATGAAAGATGTTATGTACAAATTTTCAACAGTTCTAAGCGCCATTCGGTTTGAGACATTGTTGGCAGTTGTCTGTTTGCCTGAGTTTTTGCTTGTTAGGTAATAATTTTATGTAATCACGTTCAAATCACTTCGGTTTGAGCTTAATTTCTTATTTTTTCCCGTAGATGACCACCTCTCAGCATAAGCGACCACTTTGTCCTGCATCAAGGGTGGTCGCTTACAAGAGTGTTGACTGTACCAGTCATAGAGCACAAATGACAATGTTCTTACCTTCATATAAAAATACTTGAGTTTTTCTCTGACTTATATTTTTCAGGTCATATTTCCATGTATTGCCGCAAGCATGGAAAGTCCCCATAATTTTCCAAGCCATATTTTAAAAGATAAAGTAAGCTTACAAAACGATCGTTAACCGATAATCTTTGTCTGACGTTTTTTATAGCCTAAATAGCTCTTGCAACAGTAATGAATCCTGACCAAACGTAGATACAGTGTACATATATACGAGCCGCAATGATCAGCATCTAGGTGACCCACGATCTATCAGATTTCCCAAATACTTTAGCGCTCAGTAAGTGAAACCACAGAAGGGATCCACAGTTAGGAGAGCGGGATGATAAACTTTTTTCGTGTTGATGTTGATATGAAGCACCCCCATACAAAGTCATGAAACAGCCCGCGATGTGATTGTTATTGTATCATCTTGGATGCGAGAGTGCGATGAATGGACCAAGTCGACGAGTCGCGCATCCTTGACTGACTCATTGATTTTTAAGTAAGGCGGGTTTTAAGTCGAAGAATCTAAAAAAATTGTTTACTTGCGACAATCGCAGGAATTTGCTAATTGTATAAGAGGTTCGCAATACGATGCTTTACGATTAGCACGACCAGAAATTTCCACGTCAAAATACTCGCAGAATGACTGAAGATCACAAAAATTGAAATCATCATATACAAGAGGGTGCTTGAGGCCAATCTCTTGTTCAGCCACCCCGACTAGTTGCTCCATGTAATCCTCTTTCTCCAGCGCTTCGTCTTCGCCCTCCTCTTCGCTAACTGGAAGTCCCTTCTGCTGCGAAGCCAAACGAGAAAAGTATCCTTTGACAGTCTGTACTTCAACCCACTCTGAAACTGGGAAAGTTGCTTTTATTTGCTCCACCACGTCTGCTGGCATAGCTTTTTGGTGAAGATCCTTAGCTCCCTTGTTGAATAAATTTGTTAAATATTCTTTGACACCCGAAGATATTCTCACCGCCGCTTTCGTCTTCTTTAAGGCCCATCCTTTGCTCAGTCTTAAGTTCGCCACAGGAACATAATCTGTCCTGCCAATTTTCTGGCCCGCACCTTTTACTGATGTCGTTACAGCTGCCCACTGCCTACTTACGTTGTCGTATATGGACTCCTTCTCTGGAGTCATAATATGATGACCTGTGTCCATGTGCTCATCCGCCTCTTCGATTGTCTTGAAGGTGGCAATACAAGCAGGTTCAAGGCAGCTAAAAGTATTGACAGACTCAGTAACATCGTGTTTTCCCTTTGCCTGGTATTTCTTTTGTGTAACACGCGGTATCTTTTTCGTCCACTCCCCAATCCTTTCGAGCCCAGAAACATCTTGTTCATAAGACCCCTTTATATCCATGCCCTCTCCAACATTGTAAGCTTGCCAGACGCGCATGCTTTTAGAAGTCAGAGAGAAATTATTGTATTTCGTTATTCCCGGAATCTTGTTATTAGCAGCGCCTGTTGACATCGCTGATTGGTCAATCTTGCATTCTGCAATGCTCGTTCCTGCAATTCCTGGTGGGGACTCCAAGCCTTTCTTTATGTCTTTCGCACTTTCCACATTGTGATTTTCAGCAACATAATGTCGAAGGCGCTGTTTGCAAGGGGCGATCTTTCTGTCACATAAGTCCTTACCCGACTGAGGGTCAGAGAAATCATAGCGGATTACTTCGATGCCTGACCTTCTGCTAGTGGAATTGATGGTTGACAAAAGCGCACTACAGTGGTAGCATCCAGCATTATCACTTCTTAGGATCGCTCTGCATACTGATTGATGCGATTCTTTGACACAGACAAGGACCTCTTCAAGTATACAAGAAACGGAAAACCAGTCCTGTTTGCAGCTGTCAATGGCAACCACATATGTGTGGATTGTGTGTTCACTTGCGGATACTACTGGACAGTCAGGATGGTTTGATTTGTGAACAACAGCAGAAAAGTGCCAACTAATTCCTCGCTTGGCGAACCATTGGGACTGCGTTTCTCTGAAACGCATGGGAAGTAATTTCATGGCCCAGTCATTAATGACCATGATGGTCTGGTCATCTAACCTATTGAGTGTGTCTTGTCTCGCTTGATCTTGTTGAAAAGTCCTCAATAAATGAGCTTTCCAAGCATCGATGCTGGAAACGGCGTGATCTAAGTCCCACCTTGCTCTCTCCTTTTGCTTCTCACTCAA